CGATGAATGAAAAATCTAGGCCATCGTGAAGAAATGAAATGAATCACGTGAATATTAACAATAAGACAGAGATTCATATTTTCAAAGTATTTCAATATTATTAGAGTTACTGACCTGCCAATCGAGCCTTCTGACTTTTATATCAAGTTGCTTGCCTTAGTTATGCATAGAGATATTCCTGGCATTGGTGGAAAGTAATGAAGGAGAAAAATCCTTATTTAACGCAAACATAATACGCGTAGATTTTTCAGCATTTATTCAGCAGATATTCCAAAGCGAAGATGAATTTGTAGTTGTTGTGTATTCAATTTTTTTTGAAAGAGAAAGAGATTATTAATACGAATCAATGGCATAAACGATAGCGTTCTCTTAATAGGCTTAAAAATTCTTACCTTGAATTTTTTCCTATAAAATTTTACGGCAATTTTTGTTATAAATGGAAAATGTTATTAATAAAGAAATCTTACGACATTTTTCTGATGCTCTTATAGATGAGTGCAGAAGCTTAACATTTGCAATTTTACAATTTTTAGTAACTTGGATCTACACACTCCTACGAGCTTGCGTTTCACTGCATATTGCTAACGTAGTATGAGAAAACAGTGGCGTCGCGCGATCTTAGGAATATTATTTAAGCACAACAAACATTCTTATCATCTTTCTCAACATAGCGATCAGTTTTTACTTTTAGTTTAATGCTCTCCCTATTAGTCAGAACTTAAGCGAACTTCTCTTCTACATTCTTACTGCTTTATGTCACTCAATTAGTTGCAAAGCAGTCATATGCTATTCGTATCTTCTTTTCTCCTCTTCGATGCTGCTAAAAACATTGTTGCATATAAAAATTTATCTCAACATTTTATTATAACGCTAACAAAATAGTGTTTTCAATTTAAAACAAGCTTGGAACTATACTGGAGTAAAAATAAATCTCTCCATCTGACCACATTTTCTGTACATCCTCTCTTATCGTCAATCAGCGAACAGTTTTAATTTATAAATCAGCGGATGAAGTGTAGATTCCGTGTTGTTGATGTAAAAGTTTCAACCATTCAGGCATTCAGCGGAACTTCAACCTAAAGAGGAAATAATTGCTCAACTGGTTATAAAAAACCTTGATCTGAATTTATTTAGTCTGCAAGCAGCACTAAGAGATAAATAATTTATAGTTTTTAGTAGATGTAACTTGGAAGAAGTAAACTGCGGGAAGTCAATCAAGTTTTGTCTGACCTTAATCACTACCTGTAGTACAAATTTAATAATTAATCTACAAAGACAGAGAGAGAGAGAGAGAGAGATAGTAAGAGTGAGCGAGAGAGTGAGAGTGAGGGAGTGAGAGTGAGAGCGAGAGTGAGAGTGAGAGTGAGAGAGTGATGTTACCCGGAACAGGACACAGGACTTGTTAATACGGCTCGATTGATCTTTACTCAACCCATGGGACGTTTGAAAATTATAGGTCCGTTCGAGACCTTTAAAAATTCGCTTCAAAAAGATCAAAGTGGGAAATGATCGTGATTCCCCGAAAAAGCTTTGCAAGCTGTATTACATGCGGGACAAAACCTCGAAAGAACTTCATAGTTGAGCCAGGGAACTTGTTGATATTTTGAGCAAATGTGTTGCCAATCAACCTAACCATTTGCAATCAATAAATGAAATACATGATTTTCATATATTATTTATTTGAATATCCATCCTCTCCACATCCTCTCCAATTCTCGTCAAGGCGAATATTTTATATTAGAAAGAGAAAAAACTCGATTTCTTCATCGATTGCAAATTAATTTAAGTAATAAGTGAATCTCATTTTCGAACTCTTGGCGACAGGGTGCGACATAATTCCATTAATATCTACATCCCGCTTAGGAAGGCATAAGCGCCAAGGATGAGTCCGACAATTGCTGTTTCATAACATGTAAAATGTTTCCTTTAATTATACCTTACGAGAGTGGACGCTCCTCTTGTCCTAAACCATTGGATAGGTAAAGTGGAAGACAAAAGATTACCTCCGAATAATTATTCCTTTATGTTCATTTCATTATTACTGCTAGCATTGGAGTTTACGAGATGCAGCAGCTTTAGCTGTGTTTTTTACTTTTTGTTTTTTTTGTTTTTTTCTTGACTTATGAGCTGCAGAGAATTTTATTGCAGTTTTTAAAGTTATGAGAGCAAACGTTAAACAAGATGTGTTCTATGTAATTTATTTCGCTTTTTGCTGATAAATTCATCTGGATGTTTGAAAAAAATTAAATGCGCTACTCGATGGTCATTATATATATATATATATATATATATATATATGTATTTATGTATGTATGAATTGTATGCTCGTGTGACCACAATCATGAAAATCCTTTAAATCCATACCACCGTATATGCATTCTCTCAGATGCTTTCTCTATTTTCGCAAGGTTGATCAATTTGTATAGCTCTTGTGCTTATGACTCAGTACGTTTGTAGAACATGAATAATAGCACTTATATACGTACACAAAACATGTGGGTATGCCCGAGCATGGCAAATGCTGTAATAAAATTGTCTGGTTAACCGGAAGAAAGAAGAACAAAGAAGCATATAAAGAACGGTTGACTAAAATGAATTGTGTTAAGAATCCGCTTTTCAACAATTTATCATCGATGCACATTCTTTTAATGCAGCTGTTTTGTTTTTCTTCCTCTCCGACTCGCTTTTCTACTCGCTTTTCATCCCTCTCCAGTTTCTTTCGCTTATTGATGATTTACAATCATTCAATTACGATACTCAATTGTGTGGAAACTTATAAATACAAACACTGTGGTCTCGTTTCATGTCAATCCATCATCAGAGCTCGAGTATCTTAATTTTGTTATTCCGCTTGTAACAGGCCTCACTTACATCAATCCGTTGATAATTCGCTTCTAGCTAATTTTCAATGATTGAATTTTGATTTTCTCTTTCATCACGAACGGGGCAAAGTCATCATTCTTAGGTGATAGACATAACGAAAAGCAATGGTTTTATGGTTCTTCAGTTTAATATATCTTTTGGGGAGACATAAAACATTATGCGACTAAGCGTGGCGTATGAGTAACATTATCAATTTAATCGAGGAATTATTTACTCTACGCTTCTTATCAATCAATCATTCGACTTATACTGCTTTACGTTGGCATTTGTCAAGCTATCGTTAACTTCTCTCTCTCTCTATATATATATATTGTTAAGAGCAATATTTTTCTGAAACTATATAATATGTATACGAAATAAGTGTCATGATTTTAGAGTATGTAAGCATTTTGATAAATTTTAGTAAAGGGCAAATTATCTCTATGCGCAAAAGCTAATGTTATCCTTCAAACAAGAATATATCATATGTAGTCAGTTTCAGCTATCAATTTAAATTTTTTCGATTTTAATATACTTCACCAAGTTATGTGCATAAGGTTGGCTGGACCAAAGTCATGCGCCATGCTAGCAAACATTCAGTTAGCCGAAGGATTGAATGTGTTTTTCTTTCTGTTTTGAAAAACAAAAATTGAATTTTATTAAACCATAAACTTAAACGTCCTTGAACCAAATAGACAATCAAATATATGTACATGCATTTTGTTACATTTTGAACACGATAATAAAAATAAATAAAATGAATCAAAAAATGCATAATCTTGAATGTAGGGAAAATGCATGTATGCTGGGTAAGCCGGTTAATGGGGGGGGGGGGGGTTATTGTAGGGTTTTAAGGTAGAATTATGAAGTGCAGAATGTATTCGTATAAAAATATCTTGCAAAATGTATCGGTCAATAAGTTCCGGGATTAAGTAAAAAACTGTTTTTTTCTTTTCATTTTAATTCGACTTTATTCGACATCATAGCCTCCTTCAAGGACTTCTTCGATACTTCGTTGTTTTTTTTATTTTTTTTTTTTTTTATAGAACCGTTTATCAAGGCACTCAAAATATTTTTTCAGTATCTGTAGTAATCTCCTAATAAATCACGTTTCATTGTAGCCGTGCTTTTATAGTATATGCAACTTATGCTACAGGGTATATTAATTTCGGACGGACGTACGTAGCAGGCAGAAAGGCTTAAAATAGACTCCGAGCTTGTCTGTCCGTTCAATCTGCAGGACGCAATTTTTGAAGTATTGTGATGAAATTTTGTACACTGACGATCTCTCACCAGCCAAAATAAAGCAGAAAAGGTCTAGGCTACAAAACAAAGTCAACTTTAGATTAATGCGTTAGTTCGCTACAAGTGCCGGTAGCAGCAGTTGTGTGTGAAAATAACTTACTTAGTTGCGCGCCTAATATTGTCCCGCTAAATATTTGCATCATGTGTTCTACGCGACTACAATTTGTGACCGGCCTTGGGAGAATTCGAATGGGTTTTCTAATAAAATTTAGAGCCAACCGTCGACCAAACACATATAGATCATGCTTCAGCTTCCCATTTCATATTCTGGGCCCGTAAGCGTTAAGCAGTCGACAACGGATGGAAAATTGTTGTTAAATCGTCGGAGATCGAGATCAAGATTCAAGATTCAAGAGTACACATACGTATCTTAGAAATTAAAAGTAATCAACTAATTTTTGCTTATTATGTGTATAATAAAAGCAGTATGAGAATGAGACCTTGTTTCAAGGGCAATTCTACGTAGGTATTGGCATACTTACGCTCAAGATTGCTTAAAATTCATTGGCCAAGCACTAAAGATAAAATTGATTTTAAAATGACTTTGGCAATTGGATTTTTTTGTTTTTTTGTTTTTCGCGTAACCAACTGTTTGATTAATTTAAATCTTAACACGAATAGCTCAGTTTTTCGAGTTAAGAAATTATTCATTTTCGAAAATTTTAATGCAATTCGTTATTCCTCTCCTCATGTTTTTTTTTTTTTTTTTTTTTGTTTTCTTTATTTTTCAGTTTTTATCATTTTTATTATATCGAGAAAGAGTATAATACATATATACTATAGAAAAACAAATACTAATAATAATAAAATTCGATTTTTATGCCTATTTTCAGTTAAAATCAAAAAGTCTTACACATTTAGATGGCCTTGGAACGGAAACAGTTTGCAATCATGCCAAGAATAACGCCAATGTAAGTTAATAAAATTGCAAATAATACAAAACTTAACTTAATCAAATTCCCCGATATGCACTTTGCGTATGTGTGTCTGTCTATTCGTTGTCTTGCATACTAAACTACTTCAAAAGTGTTTGTTGTTAGAAAAATATAATGTATTACTACAATATTTTACTTAGCAAAAAAACAAAAAACAAAAAAAAAAAAATAAATTTTTTTAACTATTGCTTTTCTCCTCTATACATACATACTTGTAATAAATTCTCCTACTTGCCTGCATTATGTACGTAACTTGTAACTTTTTCTTTTTCTTCGACTTTATTTAACATTGTGTATTACTTTGATTTATTTAGAGTACTCGGGTAGCTTTCAATTGTATTGATGATGACATTCCTGTTAGTATATTAAAAATGAGAAAAATTTTTAAACTTTAATTTTTTTTTTTTTTTTTTTTTTTTTTTTTTTTTAAAAAAAACATATCTGCACGCATCGTTAACATAGTGTACTGCGCCACCTTTGGAGAAAAAGAAGAAACAAAACGAAAAATATAAAGAGATTAAGATATTTTTTCAAATCGAATCTTCCGATTCCCCTGTACTTTCCTTATTATTGTCACTATCTAAAGGGAAGATTTTTCAAAACAAAACCATTAAGAAAAGATAGTGCGGTAGGGTTCATCTTGCACCGAATTTTTTATAGTTGTTGCTGTTGTTGTTGTTGTTGTTGTTGTTGTTGTTGTTGTTGCTCTTCAGGCAATCCATGGATGAACTCATTCACAGAAGGTACAATCAAGTTTTCCTCTCAATGGCCTAAATCAGCCAAAGTGTGTATGAAATAAGATGTAGGAGTAGGCATCGTTTCGCATTTATGCAATCACCATCTGAGACGCGCATATAACGTATATTAATGGGTGAGAAATTGAAACTTATATTATGCTATAAAGAAAAACTCGCCTAACTCGCACCTAACGAATCGAAATATAATCTTTTTGCCTTTAAACTTAAGGCTATCTTGTCTCTTGAGTTCCAAAAAGCTCTACCATCTTTGTAAGGCTTAAAAGCTGACTGACAGTCAGATGAATGAATATGATGAATACGATGCTGTAACAATAAATCCTTGATTTTGATCATTCAGTTAACTAATTCAATGTATTACTTACTGCATAGTCCACGAAAATTCCATAACCACTTACCAAAACGCTCTTTATACTCGAGAAGATTGATGCTTTCTTTCATAATATTAAATAAGTTGGTGTTGGATTTGATATTGAAAACAAAACCCATTCTCCTTAGCGGACATTCTCCAATGCTGTAGCGGTAAATCTGTATTACAAATAAACATAAAAATCTTAGTTTGGCAACTTGAAAGTCATCAAGAAAAAAATCTTTCTCTGATTCATTAATTAAAACCTTGATTATCCTTGAACTGTTAATACCTCAAAAGGAAATCATGAAGCGGAAACCAAGCATTTCTTTAGTGATGATAGCCAGCCCCTTTTGAATTTCCTAATCATTGTTACAGTCTGTGTCTGTTCAATTACATTTGAATAGAACAAGTCATTGCTTTATAACGTTGCATCTCTGCATCATCAGAAATGTTCGTTTACTTTAATCCACTTTCGTGGAATCATTGCGCGTAGCACTAATTGTTCTTTCAAACCAGCAAAACCCACCTATTTAACTAAATTATACAAAGTAATCTGATGAACAAATTGTTTTGGAATTTTTGATGCGTTCATATGAAGAGGAAGGGAAATTGCAAGCAACAATACATTTTTACTATTAAATACGTAATCAAGTATGTGCCAATATATCAGTGAACGAATCTTTCGAATGGCTAAAGAATGTTATGGATGGTATACATGTAGTTCGTGCGATATCTTAATTTTTACGACCGGATATATAATACAAAGATAAACGGACGGGCAAACGAACATGCAGACCCTGGATCCATTCAGGATTTGATAGTGATCAAGAATATATAACAAAAAAATTTTTGCGCTTTATAAGGCAAAAGTTTCTACGAAGTAAGCTTCATCCATTATCCATCTGTGGGGGATATGAAAATCTTGTCTAGCACAATCTTAGATTTGAAATGCAAATAAATTACAAAACGAAGCTAACCTAACCCATGCTAAATATGAATATAAATATGTTTAAGATTTAGTCATTATTTTCGCATACAAGGGGAGAAGCAAACCTACCTAATATTTGATTTTCGTATTAAAGCTGAAAATGAATGGACCACACTTCATACGTACACTTTCGACGCTTGCATGTATTTTGATCTGCGGCATTCATCGATGAAACTTTGTAAATTAATGCAAATTATCAATGCAAACAATAGCTAAGTTCGATGATTTTGTAACTTTCACTACCTAAAACAACAGATTTCCATTTAATATTGCTGAGTGAAGTGACGATTTCGATGTCAATGACAAAGAACGGCCTGGAGTACCAAAAAGCAGTTCGAAGACAATGAATTGCACGAGTTGTTAAACGAAAACTTAGCTCAAATTCTCAAAGGACTCTCGAACAGCTTAGCAGTTGATGAATCAACTATTTCTAGGCGTTTGCATACGATGGGAAAGATCCAAAAGGCGAAAAAATAGTTACGATACGACTTGGCTGAAAATGTCATTTCGAAACATTTGAACATCGCGCTTTCAATGAAGAATTTTCTGTAGTGTATTGTGACTGGCGATAAAAAGCGAGTTTACTACGATACCGAAGCGGAATATTCATGGCCATAAAGTTTTGCTGTGCATTTGGCGGGATCAGCAAGGTGTAGTGTATTACGAGCCGCGAAAATCGTTCCAGGAACAAAGATCAATAATAGCGGTTAACGGACGCAAAACGTCATCCTCTTGCATGACAGCACTCGGTCACACGTTGCAACCGTTGTCAAGGATACACGCAGTTGCAGCTCGAATGGGAATTTCTGCGATAGCCAGCGTACTCAACAGACATAACGCCTTCCAATTACCACTTCTCCGGATTGATGCAGCGTGGCTTGGCTGGCACGCGGTTTCGAAATGCTGAAGAAATGCGCAAATGGGTCGATAGTTGAATCGCTCCCAAAACCAAGATCGTTCTTTCGGCCCGCTATGCTATACTACGCTGCCAGAAAGTTGGGAAAAAGTTCTTGGCAATGGAAAATAGTTTGATTCATATATATTTTATCAACTTCTCTCAGCAAACGTTTTGTCCAAATGAAATAGTGATTAAAATACATGCAAGCACTTAATATATCTATATGCGTTAGGAAGACAAATGCAATATGAATCACTTATCAATTATTTGATGAGAAAATATTGTTTAAAACTGAAGCAAGATTTACTTTTTCATATTTTCATCTCAGCTGATTGCAAGCAATGATGCTCTGTTGACGTCAGTTTAGTTAATTGATATGCATCAGAGTCTTTATTAACATTATTACCTCGAAACATAATATATGTATAGATGATTGTGTCTCACTTTCGAAAATTATGGAAATCGGCCTTTGTGCGATTTTTCAACAGCAAATAGAATTTTTTATTATACCGTAATTATGCAAGTAAATCAAACGTCCACGCTTAGGTGCTTTCGTGCGTCTACGGGGCTAATGGGGAAGAAGCTTTTTTTAATGAACGGTAGCAAAGATTCCGTTAAACAAGCAATCGGTGTTGAAAAATTCATATCAATAAACCCGAGTAACGCGGAATATCGCGGCTAAGGGATTAAAATATAAAGCATGTTTATGTTCAGACTTCCTATCAGTTAGAAGCATTTTTCTTTAAGCAAAACAATTTTTTTTTTTTTTGTTTTTTTTTTATTGAAAATTTCAATTCTATAAACGATTTGAAAAGAAAACGAAATTTGCAAAGAAAACGTCTGCAATTAGAACTATTAGTGTTAGTAATTAATTTTTGTTTTTAATAGAAATTTTTTATTTTTTTTTATTTTTTTTTTTTTAAGCCCGGTTTTTGAAAGTCAACGATACGCACAAATGTATTTTGGCTCCGAATAACGATTAAATAAGGAAAAAATTAATTAATAGCTTATATAGTAGATCAGGCTGTCGAAAACATAGTTAACGAGACAATAAAAGAGAAAAAGAAAAAGAAGAAGAATTCCTTTCGTTTTAATTAACTTCTTTTTTCTACTATCCTGTCCATTATCTTTAATAGTTTTAGTTTCTTCTTAAGTTAGTTGTGTCTTGCTTTCCTTTGACTTTTCGTTCGTTCGCAAGCCACTTAGAAATTGTTTTAATCTTTTTTTTTTTTTTTTTTTTGGGACCACACACAGATATCCTGTATATGTCATTTTGACTTTCTGTTATTGTTTTTTTTTTTTTTTTGTTTTACTTTTTGAAGAATTATAATGTCATTATCATTAATGTTGTTTCTATTGATAGTTGAAAATGAATGTTGATTTTTGTTTTTAATTTAACACTGCTTGCGATATTATTAAGAAAAATTGATTGTTTGCACATGCTTTATTGCTTCACATATCCCTTTATTGGAAGCAAAAATGTTAATGTCTTTTTCTACCGACATATTATGAAATTCATATTGTTATACATAATCTAATCGTAAAAGTATTCCTTATAAATTTTTTTATTATTAAAAATAAAATAAGCAAACTCTCTTTCTCTATATTTCTTTTTAAACGAAACAACAATTATTCTCCTTTCTTTCACGCTGTAAAATGCTTTCCTTTTCCTATCCTAAATATTTATTGACACCCTAGATCAGAAATGCGGTCATTACTACAACACTAAATACCAATTATACGCTTTCTGCCTCCCTATCGCCACCATTGCCACAATATCATATGAAACGATCACTGTCGCCAGTTCGATTTTCATCGCAACATCATCACCATATATCTAATCATAATCATAATCATAATCATCATCATCATCATCATCATAATCATTATCAGCGTAGAACTTATTCATCTCAAAAAGTAGCCAATCGCCTATCCCCCATCATTTATACGCAAGCACCTCAACAGCCTTCAAGTAAATCGTTAGTCAGTAATTTAAGCTTATACAGTACCTATAAGACCACCTCCTCCTGTACTACCACAACCACAGCAGCGTGTTACAATAGTAGAATCTGTTCGTCTCACACAAGCAGCAGTAACAAGAGCAGCTGTAGTAATCTACATTTATCCTCTCATCAACATTATCATGCCAATAAATTTCAGAGTGATGCTTCTTCTCTTACAACAATATCGTCAGCTAAACCAACGTCAAATACACTCAAATCGTTGCCCATCGCTGATAATTCTAATAATATTGCTAAACTCTGCAATGCCAGTGGTGATGAATGTGGTGGTAATGTTGGTGGCAGTGCTGTTGCATTACCAATTTCTTCTTCGGCTGCTAGCTTATATCCGCCTGGTAGCTCTGTCACGCCCATCAATTATAAACAGAAATCTTTCATGCAACGCAAAAAGCCTATGCTCACACGCAGTGAGGTGAGTCTCTCAATTAAGATGCAACCTTCAGTATCTTTGTTTGTATGTTCCAGTATACTATGCATGCATTTATGTGCGCTTGAGTTATGGTCGGTTCTTGAATTCTTTTTCTTTCTCCTTTCTCATTTTTTTTTTTTTTTTTTGATTTGGTTTTTCTTTCTTTCATACATACATACGTTTACTTATAGATATATATATATATATACATAATATTACACCTAGTTCAATATTGCCAGGCTTTCTTTAATCTTTTAGATTAACATTTTCTTTATGCTTCTCATTTTATTCATTTTCTAGCTACCAGCCACTTGTGTTTTTCTTTCTTTAGTGATTCCAGCATCAGACACTATAAGTTTCTTTTAGCTTTTTTTTTTCGTTTTTTCTAAACATAAACTACTTCTAATGAGACTGTGCTAAAGCACGCAAAACATTAGCGTTTTTTTTTTTTCAACGCATCGCTGAGTCTCTCGTTTGAAAGAATCTAAAAAATCTAATATTTATGAGTATATAAGTAAAAGTTTTTTGATTTTGGTTAAAAAGTCTTCACGAAATTATATTTTGACTTTCACAAATGCGAAACGAATGTTCGGGCAATAATTGTTCTCATCTAAACGCGGTTTTTTTAATGCCTAATATTAGATAGAAAGTTATAGGCAAAGATATCATTTTTGAAATAATAAATGGATCAAATTCACAAACATAGGATTTCAAATGTTTAGTTCGCTTCTTATCTAGCAACTAGAAGTGAATTTGCCTAAGCCTAAGCTATAGGCAATATATCGTCTAAGATGCAAATCACTTCTCTACTGCACCGTCACAGTAAATGAATTAGAAATTTTTTTTTCAGCATTCAAATGTGTTTAAAAACAACAAAAAAAAGACCGTAAAATGTATATAGCCCTTAACTCGTAATAATTGTCTAATGACGTTCTCACATACAAATTACAAAAAACTTTTTCACCTACACAAGCACTTAAATGCACTTGTGAACGCTTTATAATTATACGGTGTCTTAATAGGCTTGACGTCGATAATAAGAACACATTAGTCGCTGCATAAACACTTTGTCATATAAGTAAATTCATATTTAAGATATCACACATCAGCCTACGTACACTTGTCGAAATTGTTAACCTATGTAGTATGGAATGCAATAAGAAACACACTTTTTTTTTCTTTGTTTGATTCAAGAAAAATTCGCATACGATAAACAATTTTAAAGAGTCAACACGCATTACACTCGGGATTATCTCGGGATTGTCAAGGGCAACATATTTAAAGGATGGATATACATTACGCTTACAAGAAGACTTAACTTAAAGCTTTACTGCATCTATTCAATATGGAATAATTTATGTCACACACCTCCGACCGGCAAACATAACTTACGTAAATTTCTTGTCATTTCATGTAATTTCCAAAAGTGAAGCCACGAATTCTTAATTCAAGCAAATATTTCATTAGATCGGTATATTAGCTATTAGAGCATACCTTTGTTGTTGTCTTTTAAACATCAAAACAAATTAAATGTCTTGGCCTGAGTGAAAAACCATTCATAAATGCAATTTTTCCCCATTTTGCGAATCGAAAGTTAATTCGTCATCGATCGAAAGGATACATCATCCTCTTGAATACATCATCGGAGAGTTCAAAAAAAGGATTTAAGCAGATCTTGAAAACTTTATGAGAATAATTTATATTTTCCTTTTCTTTCGAAAATCTATTGATTTTGTACCCATTTCGTAGGTCTCATGGCCAATTTGTCGAATTCATCGCATCTAATCTGTCCTCGATATCGATAATGATTTAAGCTTTTAATGCGAAAATTCACAACATTTTATCTCTCGCTTATCGCATCAAGAGCTTCTTTCTATTCGGGCAATTTGAGCTCTGCTCAACCCATTCGCATTCGTTGGACCAATGTTAGTCAATGTAACAGCATTTCTCGGAAAAGAACAAGAGAAACAAGAGAAACTTTCCATAAATACATGTTACTGTTCTTCCTAACTAACGAACTTTGGTTACAATGTGACCCGATCTATTGATAACACTTAGCAGATATCACCAAGCATGATATCAGCAATGCCTTAGGTAATAAGCAGTCGCATATATGTTAACCTATATGTAACATTACTTCTTTTTTTATAAACGTTTCACAGCAACATGCAATTATACAGAGTAATGTATTTGAAGAATTTTAACTATTCTTCCAACTTTTACATGTATATGAAACAACACTCAATTGCTTGTTAACAAGTTTTGTTAAACTACTGAACACTTGAGATTAAATTTCGATTTAAAATTGATTATAATCGCATCGAAATTTCTTTGGATTGTTTTAACCAGGATTCCACCACCTACCCACGCGCCCTACGCGTCTCTATTGCAGGTGGTGTGACAATGCGTATTCTTTTATTGCGAAGAGAACTCGAATGAACCAGAGGCATATAGTCAGCATTTTGCTCCAATTGTTAGACAATTGACAAATAATTATTAATTTTGCCTTAAATATAATAAATGTACTACAAGTTGTTGAAGGCCGAAGCTGTAATAGACTTCGGTCCAATATAAGAATATTACTAAAATTTGTATGCATACCGCTCTAAAACGAACATACACTACGGGGGGGACAAACAATGTGCAATGCATATAAATATGCATCGGATACTCCCATCCTGCACGAACACGAATAGAGGAACGAATTTAGCCACAACCTTTGGTTGAAATCACGTTGTTCTACCCAAAATATGGCCTAAATGTAGGAATTTATCCTCCAAATTTTACGTATCATTCGCGTTCCATCACTTGTCAAAACTAAACCAATTGGTCTAGGGATCTGCCTGCAATTAGAGAAACACATGTGCGGATGTATGCAGCATCCGGAAGCACTTGAGATAAACCCATTTTTTATTTGCTCTCCTGCAGCAATCTAAGCTTGTCCGTCCATCTCATTTTCTGTCGCGTGCTCAGCCTATAGGTCACAATTTTTGGTTTGGAACGGATCACTTTCTCGACCACTTCGCATATAGCGCCATATATATGGAAAAGTTGTTCTATGAATAACTGTAGAATGGTGTGGGATATTTAATGGTAGACCGTGGCGAACTGTAGTTTTTCTTACCTGTTTCTTTTCGATTATGGATTCAACACTTTCTGTTAACTTATTCGTTTACCGGTAAGGTGTCGCCAAATTGTATAAAAATATGTTTGTATATATAATATAAATGTTATATATGATATAATATATTTTGAATAGTAATCGGTATTAAAATATTCAGTTCAAATCAATTTTTTTTTTTTTTAATTATAATTATTCCAAGCGAAAAGCCAGATTAAAGTTTGTCAGCAACTATTCGTAACAAATTTTCTCAACAATAAAAACAGAAAATCATTAAATATAAGTGATGGTGTACGTGTGTATGTATGTGTATGTGTGTGTAAACTTTTATTCTCGTTTTTTAAATTGGCAATTTTCAAAACTTGTGACATTAATCTCTTACCTGCAAAACTTCTATAATTATTCCAGACAGTATCATTACGATATTTACGAAAGAATATTTTATTTATATAAAATTTAATAATAATTCTTTTAAACGTGCCTTTTCACTTTTTCAATATTTTTGGTTTTTTGTTACCTTTTCTTCTTTTCTTTTAACACCCAAATATCTTCCGATTTACGACTTGATTTATTTCTAAGTGCTCCCTATCGCCATACGTATAATGTGTTTTAAATAGAGAATGAAAGACAGAGAGAGAGAGAGAGAGAGAGAGAGAGTGAGAAGGTAATATAGGGAGGGATAGGGAGATTCTTGCGCTTTTAAAAAGCAGTTGTTTCATATGAACATATAGCAAATACAAGAATCAATCTCGAATCTCTATAGCGCCGGAGTGAAGCCGCTTCTCAATTGTCAGTCACAATAAAAAAATGTAAAAATATTTGTGCATAATTTGGTGCACTTTGAAAGACAGAGTTGCAACTAAGCGAAAATGTAAAAATGATGTGCAATAAGGGTTACTATCAGATTTTATATATCAATAGTCGTCGTCCTTATGGAGAAAGGTGGAGGAGAATTTTTTTCGCCCCAGATTCAAGTAGAGCAGCAGCAGCAGCAGAAAAGTAGCAGAACTGTGGTAAAATCATTTCCAAAACCAGTATAAAATCTACAATCGATTGTTACGAAACACCGAAAACTTAAAAATCCACCCAAATGTCACGACCCATATTTTGCTTGAAGGTTCAATGAAATTCTTTTATTCGATTTCAATTAGATTGTTTTTTTTTTGAATTTGATCTTTTGCTCTCAACAACTGGTCGTACAAAAAAATTTTTATATCTTTACGATCGAGAATGTTCTAAAAGCAAACCACAGATGTCCAGACAATTAGGTTCACCAAGCATATAAATACTTTATAGATTATCTATTGCGATAGTCCTGGATATAAGGAAATAACGACAAATCTAGCATACTAACACATAGGATATGAACTGACTTAACAAACGAATAATCAACGCAACTTCTAAAAAAAGCTGAAAAAACGACATTTTATTTATATTATATCCGTGCAAGATGTTCTCATGAAATTTCATCTAAAAGTTCATGATAAGAACGCTTCGGATTGAACCCAATCGCAGACCTAAAGTTAACGAAAAAAATTTAGTCTAAAAATTTTCGTAACAAAATTAATTCTATCATAATCTCTCACCTTTGATCAACACTGAGGTTAAGAAATGAGCATAAGTCTGTCACTTAGTATAAGATTCAATAGCACTTTCAACATAATTACGAGAACGAGAAATTGAAATTAACCTTGAGCGTAGTTAACTAACGTCAAGAACATCTTATTAAAATCCTTCTGTTCATTTAATTTCTTTGAAGTTGCTCAAGCGTTCATGTATTCATAGAACGTCGCCGTTGTATTGCTCTTAAAAGTACAAGAAAATCCTTTACATTCTCCGTTCTCTGCGTTTCTCTTGTTCTTGATCTTTTCCTTTCCAAAACCATTGCAGTGATAATTTCAAGTTTTCTTATTTACGAGAACAAACAAAAAAAGGACATTTATATATATATATATTTTTTTTTTTTTTTTTTTTTTTTTTTCTTTTATATTTTTCATATGCTACTCTTGCCCATAGTCAATTGTCTCGAAAATTATACAATATACTGCAATAAAATACTGTGTGAGCATAATTAGGTTGCGATTTACTTTTAGATGAAGCACGCGATAGAAGGCATGACGAAGAAGGCATTAGGCAAAGTTCGGCAGGGATTTTATTGATCGCCTTTGGCCCGACTGTAATGTTTTTCTTTGTTGTATCCTGCATGACTTGGGATTATGAAAAGTTTGTGTGGATGTTTGAAAATCCCAGGAAGATTCAAGATTGATTCATCTTTTATTATACCATTTAAGCTTGTGTGTATGTTTGTTGTATATTTTATTGCACTTAATTGTGAAGCAATTTGCGGTTTTGCAATTTCTAGAGCAATTGCCGGAAAATGTTTTCACGTAGCATTCGGATAACCCGTTCACGAACGTTTGCCAGTCGCATCATTTAGTGATTGTACTGCGTTCCCTTCTATGAGTCATGCAATTAATCCAATGTTTCGCTAAAGTTTCAAAGTCTTTTTTATTAAACCACCTTTTCAAAACACACTACAACAGTGTATCCTGGACAAGTCTGGCAACGCATGGTCATAAAATGACATTTTCAGTGCATTTTGAACCGATGAAACCAAAACCGATATGTGGAATGTGATGGAGCAGCATCACCATCAGCCCCTAAACGTGTTTGATTGGCTTAGGCAGTAGATGACCTCTTCAAATAAACAACAAAAGTAATGAATTTGAAAGAAGAAGAATTTTGATGAGCGTTCCATAATTAACACCGGCTTAGGTTGAATAAATCAACAATATATTAAATGGGGAAACTATTATTTGATGTAGAGTAATGTCAAAACCATCGATCTCAACCGTTATGTACACTGGTACTTGCCATTATTTTATCATTTTTATTTGTGAAAGTCGCTGATCAAAATTTTTGCAAGCATCTAAAATGACAATTATTTCGCTATTTTCAATGACGTCGTCAAGTCAGTGTTCGCGAGTTCAAAGCTCAGGGCGATGGTAAGCGAGGAGGATACTTGATCGTAGCTATAGTGAGTGCTCAGTCAGCTCCCTATCTCTTTCTCTGTCCTTACGTCCTTCCGACCGCCACCGTATTAAACGTACAGGAGACATTCCCTGTGTGATTGGTCGGTCGTATCAAAAAAAAAATAAATAAATAAATAAATTAATAAATGTCGAAATTTTCAATGCAGGCGAAAACGAATATCCTAAGTTTCGTTATATTCCTTTTGAAAGTTCTGTTCAATAATATCTCTTTTCCTGATCCACACCTTCGCAGGTATCTAGCTCAGAATACTTTTCGGTCAGTTTTTGTATGGAGTCCGGCTTCCAAGAAGAAGAGTTCTTTCCCGCCACCAAAGGTGTAACGTTAGCGTAAGTGTTCGCTTTTCAATATGTAAACTGAAATTTTTCTATTACCGCTTATAAATAAAAATTCCAGTAATGCTTTAAATCAAGCCATAAAAAGGCGTAACCTAAGTTTCTCCCAATTAAATATAACCGATATTAATGATGATAATTCTACCCAACATTTATTGGATGCAAGTAAGTGAAAAATGATTTTGACAGTAACGAAGAAACCAAACAAAAAAAAGTTCATTTCATTTACTCTCTCTCTCCCTGTTGTTCCATGAAAAAGAATATAAACCATTGCAAAGATCTCTGGACGAAAACACTGAAGTAGAGCAACTAGCTGGTCATCATTTAATGATTACTGATAAGGAAGGCAGTCGGAAAACGTTACAGAAAGCTGCCTCATTTGTAAGTTAGGGCGGTAAAGCAGAGACCGAAATATGCACAAAGACTACAGGACTGACTGATTCACGTGTTTTTACTTTTAGGGTTCTCGTTCACGACCGCCTCGCCTTTTATCATCTGCATCAACCGATGAATCAAGTGATGTAAACTTATCGGGTAAACAATTAAAACAACGTTGGTCTGGTTTATTTGGAGTTAAAAATCCCCAACAGAGTCAGCTGTGTGAACTATTGAATAACTATTCGAAAACTGGCGTTCCTCAGAAAACGATTCCCACCTATGATTTCGAGCATCCCGATCTCGAAGCCGCGGTAACTTATTTAGACAATATTCACAAATCGTGGAGAGACATTGTACAAAGCGATAGGATGTCAGACAGCGAAATGAGAATACAGACAGCTATTTGGGAACTAGTAACCACCGAAGTCGATTACATTCATTGTCTGCAGACGGTAACCGATGTAAGTGCATTTATATTTTTCAATCTCTTCTCAATATCATCTTCTAATAAAGAAAAATCAAAAAAAAAAAAAAAACAGTTATTTCTTGCTTGTTTGGAAGCGGTACAAGACGAAGGCCTGCTGCAAGATGTCGACCAATATCGCCTTTTCGCCAATATTCGCGAGATTTGCGAGGCTAATCTAAAATTTTGGACTTTCTATTTATATCCCATGGTCTCGCATAGCATCGCTATGAATGAACCCCTACGGGTTGGTTTCTTTCAATCGGGCTTCATACAATTCGCCAACATTTTTTCGCCCTATAAAAAATATTGCGCCGAACAGAGTAGCTGCCAATTTTACTGCAAAGAATTGAATCGCAATAATTCTGTGTTCACATCATATTTGGCGTGGTGCGAGGCGCAGAAAATGTGTAATCGATTACGTTTAGCTGATATTCTAGTAAGACCTATGCAACGCTTAACCAAATACAGTCTGCTATTAGCCGCAATTAAAAAGCACATGTCAGACGTTGAGGAAATCGAAGCCATTGATGCTATGGTGAGTTTAATTAATAGTCAACGTATTATACAGTTTTTAGAGCTTATTTCTTCTTTCGCCTGGTTTTAGGTTCAGAATACAGAAAATTTTGTCTTCAGCGTTAACAATCATTTGACAACACGCCAAGAAAATGAACGACTTAAAGGTGTAATGGCACGTATAGAATCCTACGACGTTGTGGTGGGTATACAATAAAAAAATGAAAAAATTTGAATAATTTTCTTCAATAAAAATTTGAGTCGATAAATTGTAGGGATCTTTCCTTTTCGAAAATTTCATCCACAGGATACTAATAACGATCATTTGGACAAACTGATTAAGCAATACAGTCAAATGTTCGATTTATGTGGACCAATGAAAGGCTGCGCCTCCCAGCATGTACGGCACCTTTTTATGGAGGGCGATCACAAATATAAAGACAATCACGGCAAGTCCGATGTGCATTGTTTTCTTTTGACCGATATGTTGCTCGTCTGCAAATCTATGGCCAAAAAAGGCCTCGGCTCACTTAAAGTAATACGACAACCGTATCTTACTGATAGGCTGGTCGTACAACATGCTAATAACATATTATCCTGTGTATATCTCAACGAATTTCAAGTGGCGATCACTGCGTTTACATTGCAATGTACAGAAGCGAAAAGCTGGTATGAGTCGTTAAAAAGAGCAAAAATGGTATATGCCCGGCTTAAACAGTGCTCGACAAGTAATTGGGAAAGTAACTTACGTTATACGGGCAGTATAATAAGTGCTGCTGGTACCATTGATTCGTTGGGGGTAAAAAAATCGCCTCTAAATTCATCGATATGCAGTCATGTAACCAGCGCTAACAACAGTCACAGCGGCTCAGTGGACTGGAATGACTCACGAAATATTTCGGTAGATTTTGAGAAAACTAATTCTCTTTCCAGTGATGAAGGTTGCAGTTATTTAGGTACGTGGGAAAAAATAAAGGGCAAACCCATTCGGTGATGCTGAATGTTTCTTCTTCTTTTCTTTTAAATTTTGAATGTAGGCGCTCACGGATTTCCAGTGAAAGCCAAACCGGTGACCACAATAAGCCCGCAAAAATTAAAAATGAATACTGTTTCCATTGCGAACACCTTGGCTGTGCAACCGTTACATCATTTGGGCCAAAGTTTACCCAATTTAACGTTACATCATTCCCAGGCGTAAGTTGAATGAATATCCAAGCGAACTGTGTAGCGATCCATAATGCAGTAACTGTTTCTTCAATTTTTCTATTTTTACTGCAATAATAATTTTTTATTAAATTCATTTTCCACGTTTTTTTTTTTTCCACGCATGTGTATATTGCTTATGTGTGTATATGTGTGTATGTGTGTGAATGTTTGCATATGATTTTATATAAAACAAGAAGCTCCTTGTGACAGTAATTTTTAACACACTTGTAGTAATAACACATTACTTGTGCCGGGTACTACTAGCAGTCATTCCGGTAATGTACTATTATCCCCCAGTCATCGCGGCATTTCATATCCACCGCCCAATCCCTCAAGGTAATATGAAAAGCATCAATTTATTTGTAAATATAAATAAAGAAAGCTTGTTAATATTTTTAGGGTTCCTCTGAGGCGTGGAATGGCCTTTTCAAGTTCGATAAAAAATCCTCCTCTCTTAAAGACCCGCAACATAACCTCACAAAATAGCATAAATTGGCATCAAATACCTGCCACACCAACACCAACAAGTCCAACCACTCATCAACTGCCCCAGCAGCCAGCGAACCAAAATTCATTCCCCAAAACTATCGAAGCAGAAAATATTAACACCATATCTCCTTCCATTCTAAGCAATTCGTTAGCTTATAATTTCAATAATCCATCAGACACGACGCAATCTGAAACTAATAATGCGTCACGTATCAGCAATTTACCGTCATTAAATAGTAACCAAACTTTTACGACACAATTATCCAACACAGAAACAGACGTCTGATGATAATATCCATCCAGATGATATTGCTTTATGTAAATGAAAATTATTTTAAATTAACAAAATTAGAAAAAAAAAGAAAAAAAAAATTCTCTGTACTCTAGCATAATAGTATTGTAATTTTCCAAAAGAAAAAAAAACTTAAAAAAATTAAATATTATGATTACATTTGTTGAAGGATTTGATGATAATAAAGCAGATGAATCCATAAGGGATATAAACGTATGCATATGCGAAGGAGAGCTAGAAAGATATGATATACTTTTCAAACTAATTTTTATAGCATGCGATTGAAAAGTTTTACTCTTTGATTGTAAATGTTATACAAAACCGAATTACAAAAAACAAAACATTACCTAAGGACTTTCCTTTAATCATTAATTTTTATAGCTTTTGCAAGAAAAAAAAAAAAAAATTTTTAAAAATTTTTTGGTTTTCTTTTCTTTTTTTTTTTTGTATCCGCGTTACATAATTGATCTTTTTGGTTTTATTTTTATTTGTTCATTTTTTTTTTTTTCTTTTTTGTGTCACATGCATACAAAATGATTTTAAAATTTAAAAGAAATATTTCTCATAATTAGCAAACAATATTTATTTAATCTTTATTGGAATGTGTGCATACTAATATAATAGAATAGTATTTTTAATATAATGAGAGGAAAAATTCGCAATATTTAAACACAAATCTGTAGACATTTTTCTTAAAAAAGTTTAGAAAAATGTCTCTTATTGCCATCATCGGAGCTAACACCGATTTTCTTAGGTCGAGTCATAAGTAACTTCCGTTTTTTATCAAACATTTTTTTTTGCTTACATTGAATAACAAAAGCATATTAATTTATTATTTATTCCCCACCATTATATATGTTTGTATGACCTGCTCCCATTTTCCTGGCAGTTTATTAATTCCTTCCTTGTAAAATGTGACTGGTTTCGACAGGAGAAAAGACTTGCTGCTCAGAATTGAATATTTTTCCCTTTGAAAAGTTTCGTAAGGAAGAGAAAAAAGGTGGTAGTCTGTAGGAACAAGGTCCAGGGAGTAAGGTGGGCGTGCTAAAACAGACCATCCAAGCTGAATTAAGAATTTTTTTCAAGTCACCCTTGCTGTATATGATCGTGCATTGGCGGTTTTTACGATTGACGACGTAGAATTTCTTTTGAACTCTTTGCAGCTACTGGATGTATCTATCCGCAGTAATCGTTAAATTTGACTTCAAGAGCTCGTAATGATGAATTTTTCTCTTATATTGACTTTCAAAGGTGATCGTCAAGGTGGATAGGACAATCGGACCTCGGTTCGTCTTTTAAGATCGTACCTCCAGAACGGAATTTTACGAATCAATTTCTAATTACCCGTTCAGTTCTACGCTGCATATTTTTGCAGGTGTCGCTTTAGCGTTATTGCCTTGTTTAAATTCCCAAAGCATTCCATACCAATATGGGCTTTTTGACTCTTCATTTTAAAGGTTAAGAAAAACAGCTGAATGTAACAAGCAACAGAGACTAACTGAACCAAGCAAAAACTAGTTTGTTTCAGTGGCTTATAGTGGATATATACGAACAGTAGATTCTCTAGATTCTACCTGCATCGGAAGTTATTGATGATTCGACGTAATATTAATTAAGTTTATTACGCATAAAACCAAATATAATATTTTTTCTTCTCTCTCTTCCGGATCCATACTTTATTTATGTCAAAGAAACTTAAATACTTTTTCTTTTTTTTTTTTTTGGCAAAATTAATATAGTTATTGATATATTTATTTCTCTTATTCATTACATTGTCACTATTCATGAATAGCTTGAAAAGGATATTTTTGGCTCTCTTTCGAGAACTTATGATTCCGAACTATTTATACAGAAAAAACGAAAACAAAAAAAAAAGTTCCTTTGGACCAATTTGATACCATACACAATATAAACGTTAGCTTAATTGTTTATGGCAAGCAAATCAAGACAATACGAAATTTGATTAAATTTGCATTTAGAGCGTCCAAGAGTACGATCTGCTTTGTTAATTCGAACCAAAGAAATACCAAACAATTTTAGTTTTCTACAAGAATAGATTATTTTATGAAAAATCCAAATTGTACCAATACCATAACATACCATAACATGAAATTTAGACGAAGATAAGGTTCATTTAAGGCAACATATATTTTTGATACCCATTTCTCATTCTCCCAGCGACTTTTGTAAAACGATTCTGTTTGAAATTGAAAATTCCGTGTTTGTATTACACGCGCGACACGTGAAGTTTTTCCTGCTCGACCCAGTTATTTTAAATTGATTCTGCTATGCATATGTAATATATATACAAACGATACCATGGAAATGCAACAAACGCAACCATATGAAATGAACCAAACTATAATATATTGAAACTACGTAACGCATATCGGAAATCTCGCTCTCTAAAGAGTGTAGAAAAAGTGGAAATGCTTTTAATTTTCGGTCTCCACGTCGACGGAATTTTTATGTTAATTTTCAAATTTTCAATTTGTAAGTTGATAAGGTCTTGAAAAAATTTCCAATAAAACAAGTAAGAACATTATTGTGGAGCACACCCCACCATTCACCTACCATCCCACATCACCGAATAATTATGCGAAATAAGTCGTTAGATGGCAAGTGATCGTAGAAGTCGTAAAGGTCCAATCCGAATCACGAAAATGCGGTGTACCAAATTTCAGCAAAATATCTCGAAAATTGCGCACAACAAAACAGGATGAACAAACGGACAGAGGGACAGACGGAGAGATGAGTAGACAAGCTGAGATCGATGCAAAAAGCAACTGAAAGGTATAACAAAACTTGCGTCTATCTCAAATCCTTTTCCCGGCTATTGCATAAAACGGCACTAATTGAATATAACCATGTACCGCAAATGATGTAGGGTATAAAAAAAGAGAAATATGATTTTTCTATGCAATCCATTGCCGATTCTTTTGTGATTTAAAGCAAGTGATGGTGGAATGATGGACATTCCAAACTCGAGCTTAATTAAACAAAACAACAACAATACTTATGAAGAATATTATTTTTTTCTTTTCTATAGTGCAATTAATTAATTAAAGATGTGCTTACCCAATTCATTGTGCAAAACAATAACTCGCTCAGGCACTTTTTGTTAAACAACAACAACGCCCCCCTTCCCCCCGCCCGCACTTCCCCAAACAGCATTCAATTAGGACCATTATTAGAAAAAAAAGAAAAAAAAAAAAACCAAAAGATGAAAAATAGAAGTAAATAATAAATTAATAAAAATAAAAAAATAAATCTCTATATTGTGTATCAATCAAAAAGATGCTCTTAAATAAGTCACAAAAATTTTATAGAAAATTATTACAAGGAAAGCAAGAAATAAACAAAAAAAAAAAAAAAAAAAAAAAATAGGAATATATTAATATTAAATGTACAAACTTTGAAAATATAGCAAAAATAATATAATAATATTATTATTTATGTGATTATATATACTATGTGCATATAGATTTTATAACAAACTTTATTGTAATAATCATAAATGAAAAATTCTATTAAATGAATTGTGCTTACAAGAAAAATGATCTGTCAACACCATAACAACACGTATTATATATATTAAACCTTGTTGTATATATATATATATATATATATATATATATATAGATATGAAAAAGAACGTTAGACTTAGTTTAGATAGAACGGAGAGTTAAGTTCACTTTCACTTACTTACTGAGAGCAGCAGGCTCTTAATTCTCATCAATTCAGTCTTTTGTGATTTTTATATCGATCGCCACGGGAGCGTGGAAGTGCATTGCATCATCTCAGAAAGAGGCCACACATAACTTTCCAAAGGGCTTATATTCTTAATCATTATTATTTAATTCCAAATCGATTTAAGTACGTCTGTCTGTCGGTGGTAAAGATGCCATTGATCGCAAACATGAGAATATTGACTTCAAATTTAGTAAAAACAAGTGGAAGTTCTTACATACACATTGATAATGAAAATGGCTCAAACCGGTTATAGAAACCGATCTGTAGAACAGCTCTACTTTTAAGAGCAAAAATATGCATTTTTTTGCTTATTATTTCAAAAATTTTTCCCATAGAATGATTCTTTAGTACCTGTGTATGGAGAGGGAAAATTTTGGCTACGCCCATTCAATATCTTCGACTTTTTCTTTTTTTTTTTTTTTTTTTATGTAACATACGTCCATAGCCGAATATAATTTTCTTACTTGTTGTCATAGGCATGTTCGTCTGTCCATTTGTCTGCCTGCATCTCTGTGGAACAAATGAAGATATGGCTTAAAAATTTGCAAAAGAATTTGAAAATGACCTAAGCCGATCAAAGGATACGCCCACAACCTCTACGCATCTATGCAACAAAAACGGTGAACATCTTTGGTTTCCGTATTTTAAAGTACATTATATCCACACATCCAGACATACATCATCCACTTTTATTCTGAATGTAGAAAAATCGAGGACCGGGCCCATCCAATATTATAAAGCAGGAAAATTGAGTTCTTTTCCTTTTTTTTGGTTTTTTTTAGAATAACGATAATGGGTATAAAGGATTCGGGTATCGGGACCGAATATGACTTTCTTAATCCTTTTTTTTTTTATTTATTTATTTTTTTTTGTTTTTTATAAGGCCGGGACCGAATATAACTTTCTTAATCTTTTTTTTTTTTTATTTATTTTTTTTTTTTTGTATTTGTACGGCAAAAACCATTTCTCCATTAATCTAAAAATGCTAGGTTTTTTTTCTCATGTCGCGATATCTATATGTATTAATGAATTTATTTAAGCTAAATTTTTGTACAAATATAACAAAAGAAGGGGGAAAAAATGAACGATTAAAACCGGAGCGATTGCTCGATTTACGATCGGTAAGGCTTGTGCAAAGATCCACCCTTCTGCTGCAATGCGTACAATTGCACAAGGTGTAGGATTCGTTGTTTCTCAGCAGTTTAATCAATTGAGTATCAAATAAATGGACTTGGAGATGTTTTGAATGCGACAAACTATGTTAAGTGTCGCGGACATCACGACTACGGTGGATTAGCTTTTTCTTTACAATTCCGTCGATATGGATATCAAATAAATGGACTTGTGCAATAGATTTCGATAGGCTAACGGTGATGGGTATAATTTTTTTAATTGTTTCTTTCCTTTTCTTCCCCCCATTTCAACGCGACTCTTGTTTGGCGGCCATACTGGTGGGGGCAGAGCAATTTTATATTCAAATCTAATGAATTGACTTTGCGATTAAATAATAACTGGCATTTAGTTTATTTTCTCTTGTTTAAAACTTAAAATTTGTGTGAGTGTTGTAAAATAAACAATTTGAATGGCAGTGTGTAATCACACATATAGCAGTACATTAATAGTAAGAGAAAAAAATGAT